ATCCTAGGACTCAAGCTAGGGGTGCTATCACTTTACTTTAATAAATTTTAAATTTTAGTCTATAATTTTTTTAAGATTTAAATTTAGGGTATTCAACAAATATGTCTTTTATTTATATATTTTTTTTATTTTTAAAAGTAATAATTATACTAATAATATTAGTCTCTGCTCTTAAGGGATGGGGGACTATCAATCCTAGGACTCAAGCTAGGGGTGCTATCACTTTGCTTCTTTAAGAGAAGTGTGACCACTAAGGCTACATGAATGCTTGGCAAATATATCTTTTATGTTAAGAAACTAATATCAAAACTTTATTCTGGTCTTTAGTTGAAATATTTGATAAAAAAGATGTAGTAAGTGTCATATCTACTGTGCTATTCACAAAATTTATTTTTGTTTAATTGTTAATTTTAGTCCTTTAATTTTAGAATTTTGCATAGTTTTTATTTTTTTAACTTTTTTATGAACTTTTTTGGTTTGTTAATTAAAAAATATATATATTTTTTTAGTCATTCAATCAGTTGGTCTGTTAAATCTATCTCTATATGCACATTTTTAATCTTTCAATTTTAGATTTTACATGATTTTTATCTCTCAACTTAGAAATTCAAGAACTAAAAATTTGCATATACGAATATATTTAATGCATTAATTGACAAAATGACTAAAAAAATGAGTAAGAAAATATGAAAAAATGCAAAACCTTAAAATTAAAGAATCAAAATTAACCTTTAACTTTTATTTTTTGATCTTAAATTCTTGTCAGTGGTATAACTTTTGTATCTTTCATTATATGCTATGAAATTGGTATAAGTAGATAGATCTCTTCATAAGCTTTCTTTTGATGTATTATACACCTAAAATGGTTAAGAACTGAGGGAGATATTAGGCTAAAATTTCTATTAGTTTGTGGGCATGGGCACGGGTTGTGCGGTAAGGTTGAACTTTGAAGATGATAAAAGGGGTTAGCTGTAAAATAGTCATTGATGATTCCTGAATTTGGCAGATAGGTCCTTAATATTTCATAAAAGGTGAAAATAGTCCCTGCTTAAGTGCTTGTTTCAAATTATAGGAAAAATGCATTGTAGTCCTTATAACTTTTTGAGATTCCCAAAACAGTACTTAAATCTTAGAAATGTCACATAAAAGTCTTTATTTTTAACATGTGTCGCATAAAAAATTCTAAATATTAGAATGTTCTCGAAAGTCTTGCTCTTGCACTCCTTAAGAAAAATGGAAAAAATCTATTTTTAACCATTTATCTTAATAAATTTGTAGGTTTTAATTTCTCATCTTATATTATGACACTTTTAACTCATTACTTTATATTATGACACTTTTAACTCATTACTTTATATTATGACACTTTTAACTCCTCACCTATATGAATTGAAGAAAATAGCTCTTAATTAATGTCAAGTTATAACGTTTTATTAGTTCCATTAGTTGACTGTTAGTTCTGTTAACTGATTATTAATTTAATTAGTTAATTATTAACTAACGAAATTAATAAATAAAATTAAATTTAAATTTTATGTTTTCTATAATGGAATCTAACAATCAGTTAACAGAAGTAACAGTTAGTTAACATGACATTAAATAAAGGTTATTTTGTTGAATTTGTATAGGTAAAGGGTTAAAAGTGTTATAGTATAAGATGAGGAGTTAAAACCTACAAAATTATAAAGGTAAAGGGCTCAAATTAAGTATTTGCCAAGAAAATTTTTTGGCTTTGCTCTATGTTTGATTTTAGTATGCTTAATTTTTTTATTTAATAAAATAAAAATATAATAATTAATTACTAGTATTAGTAAAATTTTATATTTACTTTTTAATAAGATTCAATTAATAAAGAGATTGAGATTAATTATTATTTCATTATTCTAGAGTAACTATATCATATTATTAATAAAAAAAACCTATATCATTTTTTAATTATAACTCAAACCCAAGAGGAGCGTAATTTACTAATTTTACTTTGTTACCCTATTGGCACCTTTTAGTCCTTAGCAAAATTTTCACTTTTAAGTTTTAAGAGAAGTGCTAGCAGGATTTACTTTTTTTTTTTTTTTAATGTACGGTATATATAAATACAAAGTGCACAAAAAAATTTTTTTGAAAAATTTGTCATATTTGAGAGTAGATGCAACATCTACAATAACTAAGTGGGAATTTCTTTAGAAAGGCCGCTAAAATAATTATTTAAATTATTGATATGAAGACACTTTCTCACTCGTATG